TTATTACATTGAATTCATTTGTTATATTAACAAATTTTACTTAGTCGAATCTCCACATATGTATCGTAGATTAGGTTGTATAGTAGGTTAAATTATAATAAATTATCTCTTCCTATAAATTATATTTATTACATTGAATTCACTTGTTATATTACAAGTACTTAGTAAGTCTCAGGCACCTGTCTCTATTCTTATTTTATTTATAATTTGATTACTTTAATATAAACGTGTCTCATTGTATTTCACTGATTTATTTGAGCACCTCAATTCCATTCGTCTTTCTATCATGATGCAGCTGCACGTGCATAGCTTAGGATATGGCATTGAAATTACATAGCATGGATGCATAACACTCTAACCCTGTAGGAAAGGGATTGCTGATAATGGAGTCTAACAGCCCCATTTGTTATTATGTCAGCCATTACCTGTTTACTGCTGAACAAGGCCTCCTCTATAAGGGGGGCAGTAGTTGCCACGGTTGGCAAGCGGGTTGACAACCGTAGTTAAGTTTAGGTGACGTTCTAAGAGGTGCTGCTGTTATTATATAAGAAATCTTCATCATTTAGTTGCAAATTCTGTATTTTCTGTATTTAGAATAAACTAGCGGCCCGTCCCAGCGTCGCACGCGTGGACATTTTTACATTTTAAAAAGTGGCCATTAAGGCTGCACACGCGACGGAAGCTTCAAAATGGAGTGACTTCTCCCGTTTTCCCAACATTTCCCTTCACTGCTCTGCTCCTATTAATCGTAGCGTGATGAAAAGTATACTATAACCTGCCCAGGAGTATGAAGAATAATTGTACCAAGTTTCGATAAAATCCGTCGAGTAGTTTTTGTTTCTATAACGAACATACAGACAGACAGACAAAAATTTTACTGATTGCATTTTTGGCATCAGTATCGATCATTAATCACCCGCTGCTAGTTATTTTGGACATATATTTCATGTACAGAATTGACCTCTCTACAGATTTATAATAAGTATAGATATAGATAAACCATACCAGCACATTGTCCATTTCACGATAAGGGCACGGTAAATTAACTAACATACTCTGATGAAGTGGCCAACCCTTTTATTACCCCACGCAGCTAAAACAATCAGCAGAAAACAAAACAACAATAAAAAAGGACTGAAAACATTAGCTTTCTGGTTTAACTGTTCATTCAATTCGCTTCCATTTCACACTTCCCTGGAAGCTTATATGAGTTTTGTTTACGCATTCACGCCTCTCGTGCCCACAGGGACCGGCAGTATACGTATTTGGCGTTGATCACGGCAGCTGTGTAAGTATAACCTCAGTTTAATTATCTATGTTCAAGACAGGTCCCTCGCGGTGTAGGCAGTTCACGTATCGGTTTAATAACTTCATTAATAATTCGTGAATTTGCCTCCGTGCACGTACTGTAAGCTTCTGCGCACTACGCACAGTCATGTGCGTGAAATTATTTCACGATCATTTCACGGACGGTAAATTTAAAAATTAACTCTTGTGTTTAATATATTCCGTTGATACGCACGGAATGTTTTGCATCTTCTTTCGTTATGTGTACGACAAAGGCTTGAAGCAATCTCTTTGCATTTTTCCAACCATAATTTTCATCATCATTTCCCATCACGTGAACTCGAGGCAAATTGCGAGACCTTTTAACGTTAAAAAAGAACTTCATGAAATTATCTCGGTTCCTTCTGGGTCAATGTCTAGATTACTTATTAGTTGTAAACAAAGTGTTAAGACGAGGTGACCTGTGCAACTATTTGACAATTAGATTTTTTTATGCAACTTAAAAAGGCGAACAAGCTGACGGCCCACCTGATGGAGGGTGGTAACCATCGCCTATAGACATAAGCAGTACCATGCACAACAGAGTATACTGTTTCACCCATGATACCCCCCATGCGTTGCTATTCCTGAGGACTCAGGTATTATTCCTTTGTACCCTGCAAATTCACGCCATATGCCACCCTTCAAACCGAAATACAGCCATGCAAACACAACTGCTTCACGGTAGAAACACACATGGGACAGAGGTGTCCAAGCAAACGGTTTTTGTACAGTCTCCCTCTAGTATATAAAAGCGTTCTAGTATGACAACCTTATTCACGTATTTTTCGGAATCATTCCCATAAGATCGAATAACGATCTCTAAATGTTGGAATCTTTAGTGCATACAGATTTCTGAGAGCGACACCAGTTCTTACTAAACACTGGTCATTTCTCTTAAAAGAAGTAGGATAAGTATATTATCCAAATGTACCTTCTCATAAAAAGATTACCCGGAAAAGAAAGTTGAAATTTTAAACATAGAATACTCATTAAAACAGGTTATTGCCACGTTTTTATGTATTTTTTTATTTTTTTTTTTCTTTGATATAGAATCAGAAGTCTAAATTTTCTTAATTTTTTTTTTAATTTAAAGCTATTTTAAAATTTCACTTTTTTTTTAAATAGCTATATCGATTCTCAAATAACGTGTTGCGGATGGCTTTCTTAACATTTGAGCTTTATTACTGACAATGTTGCTTTAGTTTTTAATAGTATTGTTTAATTTTTTGTTCCCTTTACTTGCATTATACATTTGTGCAAATTTTAATGGCTGTTAAATTATTATTTATGTGTCATTACGTATTGTTAAACCGTCTGTTTGTTTTAAATAAATAAATATGTGGATTACCTTCTATTTCACATGCCTATAAACACGCCTTTATTACAACCGTCGTACAATTTCGTATACAAATAATATTTTTATTCGGATATGAAGAGGCCTTACTCGAGAAGCCACTAAAGACATCGTTGGAAATAAAAAAAAATCCAATTTTTATAATAGAATAAAGTCATTGGATGTGCAGAATTTGCAGCGCCGCGCCGCCGTCGCCGCCGCCGCCGCCTACGCCAAGGAAATTAGGTTGGAACATCAAGGGACCAAGTGGAAAATACTGTTAATGCAGCGCCGCCGAGGAAATGGTCGGATTACGACCGACACAAATGGATTTCTTTTATCGATCCTCTTTTATTGATTCTTATCAGTTTCAAAACGAAAACGTATAAAATATATATATATATATATATATATATATATATATATATATATATATATATATATAGCATTAAGTCCGCCATGTACACATATTTGTACTAATGAATAAATAAATAATAATAATAATAATAATAATAATAATAAACTCTTTATTGCGCACAGTAAAGATGTATACAAGGAGTATTTATACAGAACGTGCATATACAAAAGGCGGCCTTATCGCTACAAGCAATCTCTTACAGACAACCTGGCATAAAGAATGGATAAGTACAGAGAGAGAGCGCAAATCAGACACAGTAAATGCATAAAAGGAATCAGACAAAGTGCAAAAAATTCTAAATATAAAAATAAGATTACATAACCTAAATAAACATACATATATAATAAAAATAATAATACATAAACATACATATATAATATAAATAATAATACATAAACATACATATATATAATATAAATAATAATACATAAACATAAATATACTAAATAGATCAAGATAAATCACACATAGTAAACGTCAAAGCAAATTAGAGAGATAGGAAATGAGATTTTACCTGCCTCTTGAACGAGGCAAGAGATTGCGCTGATCTAATAGAAAGATATCTAAATAAATACATAAAATGTATTATTATAATTTGCCAGAGGAAGACTTTCTACCCGTAACCGGCGTATACGTAGTGTGTATGAAAAAATTGATGAATGTGGAGGAAGCGAAAGAGGTTTGTTTGAATCGAAGCCTTTGGCGTTCCATTGTTTCTGCCTACCCTAATGGGAGACAGGCGTGACAGATATGTTTGTATGTAGGAAGACTTTCTCCAAAATTAAATTCGCACGGATTTTAAGCAAAAACAAAATCACTAAGTGCGGAGATATAATAGACCTTAGGAATAACGTCTTAGTTATATATATATATATATATATATATATATGTGTTAGTATATATATATATATATATATGTGTGTGTGTAATATGTGGAGGGGGGGGGAGAAAAGATTGTTAGTAATGGGGTTAAGTAGCCCAATTGCTAGCAATATACTATATCAGGTCGACCTCCTCGTGGTTCCCCCTGAAAACCATCGTGATTGATTTATGGTTAGATTCATCACGGTGGGCTAACCGACCTGCTTCATTCTCACCTATCATCCTTCACTGGTGCCCCGCCGGTGTATACCGATAGCGCAGATACTATTACATTATCATCCATGAAAAAAAATTAATATAATATTCATATATATATATATATATATATATATATATATATATATCACGCCATATCGCACCCTTTAAACCGAAACACAGCCATGCAAACACAACTGCTTCACGATTGAAACACGAATGGGACAGAAGTACCCAAGCAATCGACTTTCGTACAAAGTCTCCCTTTGGTATATAATGCTTATTACTTACCTTCAGATGGGCCATTATCTTGTTTACCATTTTAAGTACCATAAACCATTGTACATAAGGAAGCATAAACATTTCTTTTTAATCATTAAAAATGCAATGGTAACCCCGCTTGTGTTACACACTGGCGGGGCACAGTGATGTGAAAGTGAAAAAAAATATACTTGTACATTTTTCCCGTAGAAATTTTATCAAAATCGGTTCAGTATTTTAAATTTTTAACAAAATTAATTGTTTCGTTAAAATTGAAGCAGTTATGTTTGCATATCTGTGTTTCGGTTTGAAGGGCAGTAAATTTACAGGGTACAGAGGAATAACATCTGAGTCCTCAGGAATGGCAACGCATGGCGGGTATCATGGGCGAAACAGTATACTCTGTTATGTCCATGGTACTGCTCATGTCTATAGGCGACGGTTACCACTCTCCATCAGGTGGGCCGTCAGCTTGTTTGCCATTCTAAGTTGTATAAAAAAAAATTATCGGTTTTTTGTGGGACACAATCTTTAATTATTGTCGAATGAAATAGTAATTGTTAAAAAATAAAACACATCATGTACATGGACTAAATGGTTTAATTAAGTACATATACAACATTACAATCCCTCTTCGTAAAGTTTATACATTATTTAACAATGATAACCTAATAAAAATAGGGGGGAAAGGGATTGTTAGTAATGGAGACTGAGAATCCCATTGCTAGCAATATACCCGACCAAGTCGACTTCTCGCGGTTCCCCCTGGAAACTATCATGGTTAATTCCAGATGAATTCATCATGACGGGCTAACTGGCCTGTTTTCATTCTCATCTATCACCCTTCACCGGTGCCCCGCCAGCGTATCCCGTTAGCGCAGGCGGGGTTACCATACCTAATCACCCATCAAAAAAAATACCTGATAAGAATAACACTTGTAATTCTTAACATCGAAAGAGATTCTCCTTTTAATCATTGTTTGCATCTATCTATCTATCCTATTTAAGAGCTGCGCTCTTGTTGATGGAGCACTTGCCACTCGAACACCTTTGCACCTACTCCAACATAATAATTTTTGGCACATTTGCATTCTAATTCTAACAAAATTTTCTTAATTATTTTCAAATGGTTTAAATTTACACATTAGTAGTTGTGAAAAAAAAATATGCGTAATTAAATGAATAAACATTTTCAATTTAATTTAATTTTTTTATGTCATACACATGGATACCATTTTGAGTATTTTTTTTTTACGTTTAAACCCATTGTTTTGCTCTTTACGTTGAAAATATCAATGACATAATTATAGGTAATGGTATATAATTCATTTTATATATTTTGCAATGTGGATATTCTCAAATACTGATCAGAATATATGACACTCTCTTATTGATAATTTAGTAATCAGAAATCAAATAAATAATATTTACATATATTATATTTACATTGATTTGGAATGCTCAATGGAATATATTTCATATTAAATGTAGAATTTAAATTACATAATTTTATTATGGAGTGAATTGGAATTCTCTTACTATATATTAAATAATCAAACACATAATCATATGCACCATTTTATATCTTCTATGTAACTTTCAGTACGTTGTAAATTGTATTCATATAAATCTCATAATCGTAAGGTCTATTTTGTATACACCTATTATGTTACAGTTAGAATACTAATCAAAATATGACATTCCGTTATTGAATATTGAATTATTAATCTCATAATCATAAGGTTTATTTTGTATACACCTATTATGTTAGAGTTAGAATACTAATCAGAATATGACATTCCGTTATTGAATATTGTATTGTCAATCTCATAATCATAAGGTCTATTTTGTATACACCTATTATGTTAGAGTTAGAATACTGATCAGAACATAACATTTAGTTATTGAATTTTGAATTATCAATCTCATAATCATAAGGTCTATTTTGTATTCACCTATTATTTTATAGTTAGAATGCTAATCAGAATAAGACATTCCGTTATTGAATATTGAATTATCAATCTCATAATCGTAAGGTCTATTTTGTATACACCTATTATTTTATAGTTAGAATACTAATCAGAATATGACATTCCGTTATTGAATATTGAATTATCAATTACATAATCATAAGGTTTATTTTGTATACACCTATTATGTTAGAGTTAGAATACTAATCAGAATATGACATTCCATTATTGAATATTGAATTATTAATCTCGTAATCGTAATTTTTATTATTATTCCCTTGTTAAATTTAATCATCAATAAAATAATCATGTAGTTAAATTTCGTATTTATACACCTGTTATGTTAAAGTTGCAATACTGATCTAAATATGACAGTCTCTTATTGAATATTGAATTATAAATCTCATAATCATAAAGTTTATTTTGTTTACACCTATTATCTTAGAATACTGTTCAAAATATGACATTCCGTTATTGAATATTGAATTATTAATGTCATAATCAGACGGTCTATTTTGTATCCGGCGTGCTTGTAAGCGGCGTCATCTCCACGGCGGGTGGTGCCGAAGGTAGCGGAGGTGGTGGCAACAGTAACACCATCCCCCCTCTAGGTTTACCAGCTCTCATGTATCCACGTTTAGCTGCTATCACCAGCAACAGGATTGCCGATATGGAAAACGATAATACCTGGAAAAATTAATTGGTCTTGTAATTACTAAATAATTTACTAACTGTATTACTTTGTATAGTTTCCATCGCTTATCTCAATTCGCTTAATGTCACTAATATAATAAAATTGTAATTGCACGGTGTCTGTGTATTAAAGAAGTTTAAACATATATATATATATATATATATATATATATATATATATATATATATATATATATTAAAATAATCATATCAGCCTTTAACTGTCCACTGCAGAACATAAGCCTCCCTGTTAAAGGGTTTTGGCAGCAGTTACCACGCGTAGCAGGCGAATTGACAACCGCAGTTACCCTTTACAGATATTTTAAGTGAGACGCTGCTGCCCGACACCTACGGGAAAGGAAGGGGTCGCCTATTCTATGCCGGAACCACTCGGTAATATTCATAATTAGGGGGGAAAAGGGATTGTTAGTATTGGAAACTGAGAATCCCATTGCTAGCTGCTCTCGGTTCCCCTTGGAAACTATCATGATTAATTCCTGATGAATTAAACATGATGGGCTAACTGAACCTGCTTACATTCTCATCGATCACCCTTCACTGGTGCTCCGCCGGCGTATCCCGTTAGCGCAGGCGGGGTTACCATACAATTTTCACCCATCAAAAAAAAATATTCATAATTATATAGGTATCTACATATTTGTGTTTCAAATGCACAACGTAATAAACAGATGTTGTAATTCAATACATTCTGATAGTGGAACTAATAACATTAGGTAACCAGACACCATAATTATCATTAGTGGATGGCATAGTATATTTCCGGGCAAAGTCCATAAACTAATATAACATTGCACAATAAGAAATACTTCTAATAATTATGATTAATGAGATTATTAAAATTGATATTTTTATTTTTATATTGATATACTAGCGGCCCGTCCCGGCGTCGCACGGGTAGACTTTTTTACGTTTTAAAAAGTGGCCATAATAATAAGGCTGCGCACGCGACGGTAGCTTAAAAATGGAGTAGCTTCTCCCGTTTTCCCAACATTTCCCTTCACTGCTCTGCTCCTATTGATCGTAGCGTGATGAAAAGTATACTATAACCTGCCCAGGAGTATGAAGAATAATTGTACCAAGTTTCGTTAAAATCCGTCGAGTAGTTTTTGTTTCTATAACGAACATACAAAAAGACAGACAAAAATTTTACTGATTACATTTTTGGCATCAGTATCGATCACTAATCACCCGCTGATAGTTATTTTGGAAATATATTCCATGTACAGAATTGACCTCTCTACAGATTTATTATAAGTATAGATTATTTTTTTATAATTACGAGTCACATTATTTTTTATAAAACTAATGAAATGATAACTGAGTCGTTAAGTACATTTAGATGCGTTTGTCAATTCAATTAACATACCTACATATCAACAATTTACATCTACATCTACACGAATATTATAAAGAGGAAAGATTTGTATTTTTGTGTGTATGTTTGTAATGAATAAACTCAAAAACTACTTTGCCGATTTCAAAAATTCTTTCACCATTAGAAAACTACATTCACCCTGAGTAACATAGGCTATATTTATTGCTAGAAAAGATTAGGGATCATTACTAAAACTTTAGTAACGTAACTCAAGGTGTAAAAAAAATGCTATAAAATATCTTTCGTCGCGTGAGCTGAGGAAACTATTGGTGATAGAACAAAATTATGTACTACATATACTATATGTCCAACTATTATCGTTATGTCACAATAACCACTTTTTAATCTTAAATGTTGTAAAAATGTCCACCCGTGCGAAGCCGGGACGGGCCGCTAGTCAATGATAAAGTTAAAAAGAATCCTGAAACGTCATAAAACATAACCTTAATTCATTTATCACTAACCAGTTCTGAGAAAATGGTGAATAAACCTTTGTTTTCACCATACATTTTTATTGCGTTTTTGATTTTTTTATATAGAACCTAATAGATAGGAAATTTATAAGGCAAACAATACAATAATGACTTCTGGGTGTTTTTACAATTTACTTGAAAGTAGGTTCGTAATCTAAACATCCCACACTACACTTATAAGTACTTTATTTATAATAAATTTATAAAAACTTACCGCTGAAATGGCGAAAACAGTCAAAACTTCATGGGAAACAAACATTTTGCTATTTATCACGTCTAATATGAATGACAGATGAATATAAAAAATGTAAACAGTAGACAAAGAGAGAGCTCTCGCAAGTGTGCAAGAGAGAAACGGTCGCTTTACCTAACCGCGCAACGTGCGACTGATACGGACAGCATAAGGCCGTCTACATACAATGCTACACAAAATGGCCCTTGATTCTAACTAATATTATAAACTAGCTATATCCCAGGGTTTCGCCCACATAAATCAATATATATGTAATCCTTTACACTTCAAATGTAACCCCCATGTGTATCAAATTTTAATCAAATCTGTTCTTTTTTTTTATACAACTTAGAATGGCAAACAAGCTGACGGCTCACCTGATAGAAAGAACTCAGATGTTATTCCTCTGTACCCTGTAAACTCACGCCATATCCCACCCTTCAAACCGAAACACAGCCATGCAAACACAACTGCTTCACGGTAGAAATACGAATGGGACGGAGGTACCCAAGCAATCGATTTTTGTAGAAAGTCTCCCTCTGTAAATTCAATATTACGTGAAACAGTAACAGACTTACATCATTCCACCCTTACAAACTTTTGCATTTATAAAAGATCTAATTTCTTTGTTACCTTTTGGCATCTTACAGCTCAACAGTAAAGTATACAGATAATATTTAGATGGAAAAAGGCATAGACAGATTTTGTGCAAAATTATTTCATTCTATTCTTATGAATTTTGGCTGAGCGTAAGTGCTGTCATTACCTGGATTCATTTATTTCATAATAATAATAAGAAAAAAGTGCCACACAATTGCATCAACCGCCTAGTCCTCAAACTAGAAACATCTGACCGTACTAACTAGATTTTTTTTTATCAGCAGAGATTTAGTTAGATATTTAAATTGCATCTCCTGTAATTACAGTGTTATATCTCAAACTGATATATAAATTAGCAGGAATAGCTGCTTCACGTGTTTGATTTTCTGATGCCACTGAATAATGTAGTTAAATTCAAATATCTAATAATGGAATCAAATGGGATGGAGAAGAATGCAAAATTCCTTCTGAGATCTTGAGGTTAAAATCTTTGTCTATTTATTCAGTTTTCGTCTATTGTATTAGTACTTTATAAGCCAAATCAACTTAAATTAGTTAAAGGAAAGGGAGGGGGTAACAAGAACTATTGGTCCTATTGCAAGTAGCATATATCTTCTCAGACTAGCCTTCATGCGGTCGGTGTTTAATTCTTGATAAATACATCATGTTAGTCTAATTTACCTAACTTCATCCTCATCTAGATTCACTCCAATAATACCTTGCCAGCATATATCGTTAACGCAGGCAGTTTTACCATTCTATTGTCATCTATTAAAAAAGTTGTTCCGTTTGCGTTGGCCCTAAATAACATACTGTCTGCCATACTCGGAAAGCAGGTGAGTGACGTACCTACTGATATTCGGAACGGCAACGTCGCGTCACGTTGTCATGCTACCTGCGGTCCGGTTTTGCAAGCGCGCGCGCACACCTGTCATTCGATTGTCTCGCTCTAGATGCTGTGTTGCTAGCATTAATTTTTTATCATAATTTTTGTGTTGCCAGAACTAAAATAGATTTTATATTTTGTTGAAATTAAATAGTATCACAATAATGTATCGCGTATTTTAAGTAAGTACTAATTATATATATGCATAGTCTGTTTCAATGTAATTTAAAGAAAATATAAACAAATAAATGGCCCTACCATTTGTTAAGAAAATCTATCGCTGTCCAATAGTAGTCAAAAATCAATTAATAAATTAAATATTTTGATTCGTTACTTTAAGAGGTGTTTCTCTAATAATTAAAAAAAAAACAGAATTACTTTTTCGTTAAGACTATATTTAAAAAAAAAACTAGCTCAGTAGATGTTGCGAGTATCCCAGTACAAAAATCCAAAAATTAATATTTGATTAATATTAAAAAATAGATATAAACTACATCAAAATGGGTGATGACCTTTTTTCCGCCATCAATGTCCAGATAATCCCATATATATATATATATATATATATATATATATATATATATATATATATATATATATATATATATATATATATATATATATATATATATATATATATATATATATATATCGGAACAGTATCCATATTCCTAATGCCTAGTGTACTTTACACATGAAATACGTCACAGATATAGCAAGTAATAAATGAAAGATTATATTTATATAAATGAAATATAAATTATATTTGCTGGTAATATGTTTATTTTTTAATAAAAATAATTATACATTCTTTTTTCTGTCATTGTAATACAATCTGGAGAGTCGGGCGCTGACCGCTATTCCTTCCCAGGTCTCAAAGTTGATCTGGTCAATGTACTCTGGTGGTACTTGGAATCCCCTCCCGTATCCTGGCAGCTCCAAGGTATAAGAGAAAGGTATACCTACGGCCTGATAAAAAAATTTAATTATTTATTATAGAACATTGTTTTTTTTATATATAAAAATATCTTTACAATTAAATAAAAAAATATTGATATATATTAATTATATACAAAATTTTATAAATCATAAATCATCCTGATTAGTTATTGATGAATGCGTCATGATGGACCAACTGACCTACTTTATCTTTACTTATCATCACACACTGGTGCCTCGCCAGTGTACCATATACCGACAACGCAGGCGGGGTTCACCATTACCATTTCATTATCATCCATCCATATATATATATATATATATATATATATATATATATATATATATGTTCGTATTCTTATTTTGCATCTCCTTTCCTTATATACGGCTTCAAATATTAATATTAATAATATATATTTATTATCTCTATTGCCGTGTGGTCCCGGCATAGAATAAGCTATCTATTCCCGTGGATCTCAAGATAGGACAATAATATGTTTCTTCTTCTCTCTCTCAAGAAAGAGAGAAGAAGAAACTTAGTATTGTCAAGAGATGGATAGCAGCATTCCTCTTTAAACATCACCAAAAGTCAAATGGCAGTTGCCAACCCGCTTGCTAAGCCTGGCATATATGAGCATAATCCCCCAATAGTAAACTGCCATAAGGAAGAGCTCCATTCCTTATGACAATCTATGCGAGAGGCCTATGTTTCGCAGTGGACAAATAACAGCTAATATTGGGGGAAAAAGAATAGTAATGCGGACTACCAGTCCCATTGCAAACAATTTATAAACAAATTGCAAACGGTCTTATAATAATGTTCAGCGTGGTGGTGCTCATCAGGATGGTGAAAAGCTTGATATATTTGGTCAGAAGTTCAGTAATTTTCGTCACGACGTTTACGTATTATTTTCCTCTGTAATTAGTAGATAGTTTCTTTTGTTGTAACATATATATGAACGTAATATGTACACCGTGGTATGTGTGTTTCTGTGTGTGTGTGCGCGCGCGCGTGCGTGTTTGTGTGTGTGTGTGTGTGTGTGTGTGTCTGTGTTTGTATGTGTGTATATATATATATATATATATATATATATATATATATATATATATATATATATATATATATATATATATATATATATATATATATATATATATATATTATCCATTTTTTGTTGTTTAAATTATATTGTGTTTACAGACTTTAGCTGTGTGTTTATGTTTTGATCATGCCGTGTACGCAAAGTTTTGGAGGATTAGCTTGAACAAAACATAATTGTACTGTATAAATTAATGTAACTATGTTAATTCTCTGTAATGTGTACCTATTGAAATAAAAATAAAAAAATAAAAATTTCCGCCCTCCACGTGATCCCACCTGGAAACCACAATGCTGAATTCCAGATGTATTCATCACGATTGGCTAACCTCCCTTTTTTTCTTACCTGTAATCCCTCATTGGTACCTCGTCAGTGTATACCGTTACTATGCCATTATGACCTTTTTATTATTTAAGCCAATAATTGATAAGTAGAGCCATACCTGACCATAATCCTGAGCGCTGCCAGAGGTAGAATAAAGAACCATGCCACTATTCCCTACTCTATAGAATCCTGCTTCAGGTAATTTGAGAGAATCTATCTTGGCGCCCATAGTAGCTCCCACGTGGTATAACTGCAAACAGTATTCAGTTTAAAATATATTATGCTTAAAAACTAATAAATGGAAATATTTAAGAATATAGTTATAAAACAATGAGACTAAGCTTATAAAAAGAGATATCAGTATGATTGTTCAAAGAATAACACTTTATGACCACGACACTTTAATATCAAATGAAATCAAAAGCAAAAGATCTAAAATAATAGACATAGCCAGAAGGATAAGCAAGCTGAAGTGGCGATGGACTAGTCGCACAGCTCGAAGAACTGACTGATGGGGAAGAAAGGTTTTTAAACGGTGACCCTTCTACCTAGCTCAAATGCATTGCAGTGGATGCAGATGGCTCAGGACCGTTCCTTATAATAGTCTATAATTGGAGACCAAAGTCCAACAATGGACAGATAATGGCTAAGATGAGATGACGATATGTTTTGGAATGCAATTAAAAATACAATAAATGTATATAATAAAATAAAAAAATACCTGTGCAGAATTTGCTGGAAGCGTAAGATTTCCATAACCGTACAATATGTAATAGCCGTGACTGTGGATGTTTAAGTATATTTGAATACGGTCCACGTATTCAAGCATGATGTCGCGGACGATTCGCGTCTCTGGCTCAGAGAAGGCGGCATGGCTGGGATACGTGTCACTGCAAGGATTACTCGATACTCCCAACGTGTTGAAGGAGACGTCGAAGTTTCTGTTTGCGTCCACTCCGTAGCAGGTCGTGTTGACTTGCGGGTAGTACGAACGAGTTCTTCGCCACAAACGTGTCTAAAAACATATGTTTTTTTTATTTTTATGTAACTTGGATTGGCAAACAAGTTAACGGCCCACCTAGAGAAAAGTGATAATTCGACCGAAGACATAAAATAGTACCACGAACATCAAAGAGTATACTGTTGGCAGTATACAAGCATGGGCTTGAAGCTTCTCATACATTACCACTGCAAACAGCTATATAAATACAACTGTTATACGAGGTCTGTCCGGAAAGTTCGTATAAAAGTGTTCTGGAATGCGAGAAAGAGGAGTGGGGAGGCCAGGTAAGCGCAGGACCCCTTCCTTATGTCCC